TCACATTGGCGCCCTTTGTTTAGTCACGAGGCTTTAAACATCGGCGATAATAGCGCGCAATATTCGTCCCGGTGTGAACAAGCCATAAATGACAGAACTTTCATTTTTGGTGAACCGCTTAACCTTTTCAGAGTGGGAAGATGACAATAAGTGTGTGGGTGTGTGTCTGTAAACTTACACATTCTCTACATCAATCAGTTGACTCTGTGTTTCATTGCCGCCAGTGTTCAGGTTCTCTCTCAGGTCTTTTATCTGGTCAGCCAAAGCAGGATTCAGATCAAACTCTACTGGAAATTCGGAAATCCAGTACCTACATACAAAAAGAGCGGAGAGAAAATGCAATGAAAAAGAGAAGATAAGACATACAATGGAGAGTTTAAATGATGTCTTACTTGACGAGGTGGCATATTTTGGCTCTGATATCTTCAGTGCTGCCTGCCTGTGACCTGTATATTTGTTAAGGGTGTAAAGTTTTAATTTTAGGCTTTCATTTTATGTTAACACCAGCAAACCTTACAACAGAACATGTAACCCAAAAAGAAAATATGGGGAAAAAATTACCTTCATGGAATTTTAAGTTATCAATGCATAGTCCAGATTTCATAGATTTGCATCAAATATTCTTTAATTTAGCTTTACATACTGTAATTAACTTTAACAAGAATGAAAACACTAGTACTTTGGTTGACCCAAAGGATATCAGGTTTTACAGCACTTTTTATGTTAGCTCCAGTCAATCTAACATGGGTTGTAACCATCTAATTAAGTTGAAATATATTGATTGTATGAAAAATACAACCGGAAGGTGTTGTAGATAAAGGATACTGTAGCAGCAGTTTCTTGGATAAATCGGTGGACGATATGTACCAAGGATGCATCATCAGAAATATTTTCACAAATGAGGTATCTTTAATTGTGCCTTCACTGTCTGAAAACACAAACATCACAGACCATTAATGAAGAATAAACAATAACTCTTCACTATTCACTATTAACTTTTTTTTTTTTTAATTCGCTGCTTATTGATAGTAAGTAGGTAGTTGTTTTGTAGTAGTTATGTTTAGGTATTGGGTAGGGTTATTATGGCAATGCGGAATAAGGCATTCGTATGTGCTTTATAAGTACATATAAACAACCAATATGCTAGTAATATGCATGCTAATGAGCAACTAGGTAATAGTGAATATTGTTCCCTAATCTAAAGTGTTATCAAATAAACCTACACATTTTGGTGTGACACTGTATTTTATATATCATCATTTTCTATTCTTAACTTTTAATTCATTTTAAATCAATTTTTAAATCATTTAGACATTTAAATTCCTTGCTTTTGTT